GACTGTTTCTGAAAGGTTGCAAACCTTTTCAGAAACAATGCTAACAACTCTATAAATATACTTTGAATCCAGAATCTTTCCTTACGAAATTTTCTGATCTTCTTCTTCTGCATAAAAATTCCAGTGTGTTTTACAGCCTTCGAGTGACTTGCTGTTCACCAACGTTTTTTGGTACCAACACTCCGGTGAGTTAAATTGTCCTATCCTGGGAGGATATATTCAAGCACATCAGGTACTTGAGAGAATAATTTCCTTAAGGACATACCGTGTATTCAGTGGGCTCGATTTATTCCTATATTGTTTTCCCATAATTTATTTCGTTAAACAAGTGTTACTAACTTTCTGTTTTGTTTATATATTTCAGAAAGTTTAATAATTTAATTATTTATTACAACAATACAGTTAATAACAAAATAAATTCAGCCAAACAGTTTAAAGCTTTTTTTATTTTTAATTTGACAGACTTTAAAGAAATTGTCATCTTGGACCACGTAACATTTAATTGGAGTAGTAGAGAAGCAACCACATTTTCGTACTTACACTAAAGTACAAAAATAAAATATTTACGTACTTAAACAAAATATATTTGTATTCGGTCAATAAATTTTTCCCAAGCTCTCCCGAAAAGCACTTCTTCCTCTGGGGCGGCCGGCGAGTTTCGTGGCCTAAAGGTAAATTTTATGAGGAACCTTAATTTTTTTTTAAAAAAATTATTTATTTATTTGAAATTTATTTTTCTAGCCTTTCTTAGATACAAAGTTATTAATAATTTTTTATAATCAATAACTCCTAATAAGTCTTTCTTAACTGATAATATAGCTAATCTATTTAATCTTTCTTGAGACATTATTGATCTTAGATAAGATTTTATCAATTTAATTTTAAAAATTTATTTTTGCTGAAGCGGCGGTAACAAGAGTTATTAACATTATTCCATAAGTAATATAGGCATTGGAAAAAGAATTAAATCTTTTAGTTGACCGAGTGTATCAGTTAAACTGTTATCTTCTAATTGTACTATTTTTCTTAATAATTTTAATTTCAAAAATAAATCTAAATCATCAATATCGAATTGATTATTATGCTTTAGTGATCTTAATGTTTACCGCTAAATAGAAAACCAAAATAATTTTCATATGCTTCGAATTATTCAAATCTATTTTGAAGTGAAAAAAATAGTCTTGTCTACTATGTATAAAGTAATCGACTCCAAAGGACTCTTCGAAATATTTTGAGATTTTATTATCAACACGCTCATCAAATTGTTATTTTCTATATATCATACGTTTCTTACGAAATTCGGGTTCGATATTCATTTCAAGTATAATTTTCGTGACAGAAATCATAGCAGTTGCAAATCCTTCTTCTCTATACTTGTCAAAGAAAGAAATCAAAAAAATTTCACTTCACGGAACCTTTTTTAAACTTATACATAGCATGTTAGGTATAACAAAAAATGGGACTTAAAGTATTTGCTTTACTTGCTTTATGGAAGGATCACCCTTCCTTTGAGAAAAACGACTATTTTATTTCCTAAATGAAACAGCGCATTTCTTTTTCCCCTTAAATAACTGTTGTATTTTCTGAAAGAAGAAACCAAGGGCCTTTTTTTAGTACACGCAGAACCAGTTACTCAAAAGTCGTAACAGAATATCACCAATTTCTTTAAATGGAAATAAAAACAAACTAAACCAGTAGCAAACCACTGTACGAAGATAAGAAGATAATCGGAGCGAAATAGGCAACACATACTAATAGAATTTAAAAATAAAAAAAAATACAAGATAATAAGATAACAGGAGCGAAGAAGACAACATGTAGTAATAGAAAATAAGAATAAGAAAATATAAGAATAATACTAATATTATTGGTATGGACAAGAAATGCACTCGACTACCTACTAACCCTCAACCCTAATTCTCAACCATCACAATCTCCTATCATGGGTCATGTCATTAGTAAGTTTGAGTTACAACATGTCCTTTCTAATTACCTCTCCCCGAAACTTCTTTGGCCTACCTCTACCTTTACTTAGACCCGTATATCAAGGCCTACCTCTCACACCTCATTCTTCACATGTTAAACCCATCTTAGCCTCACTTCCCACACCTTATCATTCACGGGGGCCACTCCACCTTGTCCTGTATATCTTCGTTACTAATCTCATCTCTCTTGGTACGCCTACAAATCCATCCCAACACCCTAATTCATGCTACTTTCAGTTTTTGGACATGAAATTTCTTTACTAGCCAACACTCTATATATAACTTACCTTTGAGTTTTGGTGGACTATTCTTATCACACAAAATACCGAATGCGAGCCTCCGTTTGATCCATCATACTCCAATGCAATGTGCGACATATTCATCAATATCCTTATTACATTGGATTACTCACTCAAGATACTTAAAATTTCACCTCCTGGGGATGACTTGTGAATCAAGCCACATGTCTACGTGTGCTTCATTAGTCACGTCATTTATTGCAAATCAAATATTCTATTTTGTTCCTGCTTATCGTGGGATCTTTTGACTCCAGAGTCTATATCTGAATCTGCAATCTCGCGTTAATATCGTCTCGCGTCTTGTCAATCAGTACTATATCATTTATAAATAACATACACCATAAAACTTTCTTTAGATGTGTCGCATCAGAATGTCCATTGCCAAGATAAATAAAAATGAAGTACAAAAAAATAAAATAAGAAACATATATGATGAAATAGAAGAAATATAAATTAACTATTATAGGCGGCCTTTGCTTCGAGAAATTGTATAATGAGTTCTCTAAACAAACATATAGCCTGTTTGGCCAACTTTCTTCAAGTATAATTTTTTTTTTTTGAAAAGTTGAAGTGTTTTGCTAGTTTTTAGAAGGAAAAAAAATGCTTTTGAGTAAGAAACAAGTTTTGGAGAAGCTGAAAAAGTAGCTTTCTCTATAAGCACTTTTTTGAAAAACACTTAGAGAATTATACAATTTGAAGCACTTTTTTATAGTTTGATCAAACATTAATTGTTGTTTATAAGTGCTTTTCAAATTAATTAGCCAAACACAAATAATTTTTTTACTAAAAGTATTTTTGTTAAAAATATTTTTAATAAAAAAATAATTCTCGAAATAAGCTGATTTTGAAAAACTTAGCCAAATAGGGTAATAATCACATAGTGGAGTATATTTTTCGGGGGAAAAACATCTTCTAATTTCATTTGAAGGAAACGTCAAATTTGAACTAGTTTTAGTGTTCTACTAGTCATCCGACAAGGCGCTCTCGTCAAACGTCACAGCTGGCTCAGTAGAGCATCTTTTGGTCCAAGAGCCGCGCCTCCCTTTACGGCCCACGATGGCAGGCTCCGTAAATTTCACCTAACTTTACGTCCCTTTTCTTAACCCCAAAACTGTCCAAATTTTGAAACTTCACCTCTCTCGTTCCCTCTGAGTCCCATTTTGTAGTGAAGTGCAGAGTTTTGCTAAATTACAAAAGAAAGACAAAAATAGGTAACGTCTACTCCTAGTTTTTTGACACGTCATCAGTTTCTTAACAAGTAAGGTTTTCATTACACTTCTCTTATTAGTTGACGTGTCACACACGAAAATATATTCCTCCACCTAATTTTTTAGCATTAATTGATGTTGAACAAATTGTTTTTATAATTATAAACTAGGAGATTAATTATTCGTTTAAAACGAAAAGGAAGACTCGTTTTCTCACAAATTTTTAAATGGGGTGTGAAGATGATTGGGAATGTCTACAAAAATGTATTTTTTTCTTCATTCCAAGTAGCAAGTGATGCTCTCTACGTGCCATTTTGACCCTTAGTGATTAACAGAAATCAAATGCAAAGACACATAACACACTGCCATTGAGAAAATGAAATTATATCAGACGTAAAAATTATAATTATTTAGTTATTCAAGCAAATAACTCTTTGACATGCTATTGTTTAATCATCTAACTCGGCAAGCACATAAATAATTAATTAGTATGGAGGATTATATATTAGCAAAGATAATTTAATTAAAACACAATAATTGAAATCGAGTTATTCGGTTTCTTAAAACTTATAATATGTAATATATATTGCGAAAAAGGGCTGAATAAACTCTTGTACTATGAGAAAAGGCTTAAATATACTCTTCGTTATACGTTAAGTCCCAATATAACCTGCTGTTATATTATTGGTTCAAATATAACATTCTTCCGTTAAGTTTGTCCAAGGTAGATATCCAATTCTATGTGTCACTTATATTTGAAGAGGTGGCATGCCACCTCAGCGCCCCTAACCTATTTTACATCTTCCTTCTATTAATTTTTTCTCATCCACCACCATTGCTACCATGAACAATATTGTATTTAAAATTTTAATCTTTTATATATATTTGTTTCTCTACTCATCACTCGCATTTGATTCAATACAATTTGAAACTTCTCGAATTTCAGATAAAGTTCTCTTTCTCGAGAAACTAGATAATCTTTTTATCTACTGCTAGTGTGCTTGATATTGGGGTGATCAATTGAAGTATTTTTTTGCAGATCCAGGTGCTCAAATCATTTACAGATTGTCTAAGTTGGCTAGCTGAAAATTCAATATTGTTCATAGTGGCGGTTATAGTGGCAATGGTAGTGGAGGGAAAGAAAATTTTAGTGGTGGAAAAATAAATAGAGGGGAGGGGTAAAATGGGTTAGGGGCACTGAGGTGGCATGCCACGTGACATCCACCTCATTAAATGTCAGTGCCACATAAGATTGGATGTCTAACTTGGACAAATTTAATAAAAGAGTAGTATATTTGAACTAATAATATTAAGACAAAGATATATTTAGAACCAAAGTATTACGAAAGATATGATTAAACCTTTCCCGTATAGTTTGAGAGAGATTATTACAAAGAAGAAGCATCTAATTCTAACGGTTAACTATCAATTTTGTAGTAAATGGAACAAAATTAAAACTTGGAACAATTCCATCCAAATTAAGAAAGTTTTCAAAAATTCTACCTCAATTTGTCTATCACGAGCTCTAAGTTCCCCAGTTAGTAAATATACTCTTAAGAAAACCCCAAGGCAACAGAAGGCCAAAAATTTGGACTGTGTCAGATGCTCCATTTTTGGTTTTAGGGCGGGAAGCTGATAAAATCAATATTTTCTTCTCTCTTGACATCGTCCCTTTTTTTTTTTTTAAACTTTCTCTCTCTAGGGTTTTTCCAATTGCTGATGCTACTTCAAATTCCAAATCCAAAAAATCCCCAAATTTTCACACAGAATAGTTGATAGTTGATATTTTATGCCGCTTTAGCTAATCCAAAATCCAAAAAATGACACTGCGAAAGGGCTCTAAAGTATGGGTCGAAGACAAAACTTCCGCTTGGGTTGCAGCCGGAGTGACTGATTTTATCGGTAAACAAGTTCAAGTAGTTACTGATTCTGGCAAGAAAGTGAGAAAACACTTCCAACTTTTAAATTTTTCTCTGTTAATTTTGGACCAATTTGTTGGTCATATGGGTTGATTGCGAAATGTTAATTAATATTTGTAGTTATTGGCTTTACCGGAGAAGTTGTACCCAAGGGATGAAGAGGCAGACCATGGAGGAGTTGATGACATGACCAAATTGACTTATTTGAATGAACCTGGTGTTTTAGACAATCTTCAGAGAAGATATGCTCTTAATGAAATTTATGTTAGTTCTCAATTTTACATTTCTTGATAATTTCTCTTTATAAATTAAGGAAAAGCTTGAATCCTTCTATTGATAGAGCTTTCATGTATAGTGTTAGTGATGCCTCTTCTAGCTTTACCTACCAGTTAAAGAAAGATGCTTTGGGCGTGGAGCAGGGTTACAAGCTGATTGTATAGTGGTTGGTTGGAGGAGGAAGGAAAACATAATGCATCATAATTTAATTTTTGGATCTTTATCTTATTTCTTGAAGTAGTGTTATTCTTACTAGTGTCTATCTGGAGTACTAAGAAAAGTAAAATAAAGCTGCTAAAATGGTTCTGCATTCGATCCACTTAGGGTTTTAGGAATAAGTCAATGAAATTCCATTATCAACCTGGGCCATATTTGCTCAATTCTTTGCTTTACTTTGGTTCTGGTAGATAAATAGTATATCTACCTTGTTCTGGATGTTACTTTGTTATTCTACTCAAATGGGTCCTCTGGCTTAATTGATACACTTTATTGAGTTTATTCACTTGTAGCAGTTGATATTTTCCCCCAGACTGCTGCAATGTGTTTGCTATATTTGCTTAAAGTATATCCTTGAAAATATTTTGGTGAGGAACGAATTGAAGCTATATCTTGTGCGCGCCTTCTAGACAGGGATAGATCTAGGATTTCAAGAAGATTGGTGCACTATTACGAATAAATAGATCCCGGATTTAAATTTCATGGGTTCAACCTTTAGGTTCTTATTGTTGAATCCATTGCACTTTAAAACTATAGGTTAAATTTTTTTCTGGTGTCTTAATAATTTTTTTTTTTGATTTGCACCGGGTGTCCGAGTCTCTTTGAGCCCCGACTAATCCCGGGGGTGNACTATATACTATGTCCTCCACTGCTGCTAGTTTTAATATAGAAATTTGGTTTAATTAAACAAACTTTTATAGCGACAAATGGAGAATATGGATTTCAATGTGTTGGAATTTAAACTTTTGAAAGAATAAACCAAACAAAGAAAAAAAGAAGAAAAAAGTACTTAACTAAAATGAAGAAGGGATACCAGCCTTGCCATCCCCATGGGTGGGTCCAATTCTAGAAAAAAATAGAGGAAAAAAACAAGAAGACAAACATGTGATTTTATTCCCCAAACTCACTTATAAAGGTGCACCCCGTAATTGCACCATATGACTCTTTGAGTTTGGATGCATACACTTGTATTTAAGTAATTTTCAAGATGTAACATAGTCTAGGAAGAGGAGCATGGTGAATGTGAACCCATGCCCCTCCACATAGATCCACCACTGATTATAGAATGTCTCATTGATTTTGACATATGGTGTGCTAACCAAAATTTTGAACCAAAAGCTATTGGCATATAACAATGTGCTTAAAATCAGTAGCTTTAGTTAAGAATCGTTGTTCTTGCCTGGGGGGTTTCACTAGTTGCAGTTCTTGCCTATTTTAGGTTAAATAGCCATTTTTTCATATGCTCTAACACCGTCATCCTACTTGTGCATTGTGATATAATTGATTTTCCCCCTTTTTCCCTTTAATAGACGTACACAGGAAGCATCTTAATTGCTGTCAATCCATTTACTAAACTTCCTCATCTGTACAACGTGCACATGATGGAGCAATATAAGGGAGCTCCATTCGGTGAGCTTAGCCCGCATGTGTTTGCTGTGGCTGATGCATCATACAGGTTGGGTGACTGGTCATTTGAGGATCTAGTGAGGTTTGCCAAAAGTGGACCAAATGGTGATCTATTTTTGCTCAAATTTCTTTGTTAGGGCTATGATGTCTGAGAACCAAAGCCAATCTATATTGGTTAGTGGCGAAAGTGGAGCAGGGAAAACTGAGACAACAAAATTGATAATGCAATACCTTACCTATGTTGGTGGTCGTGCTGCTGATGATGACAGAACAGTTGAACAACAGGTTCTCGAGGTAACTTGCTGGCTGTTGCTTAATGGTTTTAGAGGCAAAACATCTCATGGTGGTTCTGTCCGTAACTTTAACGAATTTCCATTATTGGGTCTAGATTGTTATATTCTCAGAAGGGTGTCTTCTCTACTTTTTGTATACTTCTTGTATGCAGGAGCTTTTTTTCTCCCTTTTGATTAATACAATTTACCTTATCAAAAAAAAAATTCTCAGAAGGGTGTCATTTGTTTTCGGCATGTCGACATAGGAATAGCATCTCCCTGGATGGGACTGATTGCTTAGTGATCTATTAGCTTCATTAGAATGTATTTTTCAATTTCTTCAACTTTTTCTTTGTTGGTGAGAGCAACTTTCTTTTAATTAGTCAGGTACGGTTATTATTTACTGCAAGCACCAAGAAAGTGCAGCTTTAGATAGGATTTGAAGTACAGATAACATGCTTCCTTATGAGCTATGATGGAAGCTAGCTACAGTTTCTTCTCCCACTTCACAAATATGACATCTATTTTATAGTAAAATTCTCCTCTTCATCAGGTTATCCTGTGTGAGTAAATTCCATTGATTGCAATCCACCCAAAGCGTGCCACCTTAGGGGATGCCGCGGTTTCACAGATTGCATTCTAAAGTCACTCCTCCATTTTTGTTGAAAATAAAGTTTTATAGCTAGATTTTGGCAGTAAAAGTACCTCTACTGTCAGTTATCCACTCTTAACATGTCTTTGCATTCACTATTCTGTCCCTTCTCCTCCAAACAAGTCTCTTCTTAGTATTATATATACCATACTTTCTCAGATCTGCATGCGCTACAGTTTCATCCAGTAGCACCACCAAGTTATTTATATTGCGGTATTTCTCTCACCTTGAATCACTCGAAAAACTTGATTTATGCCAGTTTCCATCTGTGAATTTTGTGAAAGGCTTGAATTCTGGCTAAAGGCTTAATTTATAGTTACACAGAAACCATATTCATGGGGGGTTTGTGCCACTTAAGCACTTAAATTACCAAAAATCACATACTTTGCAAAGACCACTCCCCTCCAAAGAGCACCCATCTTCTCCATTACATCTCCAATGCCATTTATATAATAAGCTTCTACATCCCGAAAGCCACTTATATAATAAACTTCTACTGAAGAATCAGATTACTTAGTCCTAACCTCTAACTTACCATCTTTTTTAGTTCTAGACACTTCTCCCATTTCATAAGGCGGAATATCTTTTCTTGGCAGTTGTGTTCCCACAGGGAAAAATCTTCCTCAACATATGCAGCTGCTTTTCCATTTCTTTTAAAAATGTAATGAAAATTTTATTAAAGAGCACTAGAGAGTGCAATGGATAAGTAGTACAAACCCAGCAGTATGTATCTTACGACACTCGCTACGTGTGAAAAGAATTAAGGAAGTTAACCATCCTGTCTACTTACATTTGCATTTTTGCACCAAAAGGTTAAGAGAGTTAAACATCTATGCTTTAAGATACACAGATTTTCTTTTTTTCCTTTATAGTATCTTTGATTTCTCTCCGTCCACACACACAAAAAAAAACATATAGCCTCTAGTGTAGTGGTCCACAACTTTTTATCATCTTTTTGTAGTCTTCTTCTATTCCATCAAAGTAGTAGGTCTTTAGGAGATTTGCACCATTTAACTTAAGCAAATTCATAGACATGTGCCGGATCTGATTTGTGATTCAGCTGTGGATGAATAAGTGCTTTGCCTAGCCTTTTCCTTCCAAAAAAAAAATGGGGTGCTTTGTCTCTTCATAATTTTCTCCAGACATTACACATCTGTTGCAAAGAGTCATACCTCTTGCACCAGAGCCTCTCTAGCTACTAACCATGAAAAGCACTCTACTTTGTAGGCTGCTTTTCCACCTTCTTTGGAAGTGGAAACAGTGACATAGCATAAGTAGGTGAGATATCAAGTACACTATTTATTAGAGTTACCTTACCTCCAAAAGATAAATAATGCTGTTTCCAAAAATCTTATTTTTTCCTCAAACTTCTCAATAACCCCTTGCAACAGTGATAAAGCTTTGCTTCGCCCCTACGGGAAGACTCAGATAGGTCCGTGAGCAGAAGGCTAATTTGTAGCACGAAACCTCTGCTAGTTGCTGCACGCTTTCCACCTCATTCATGGGATATATGTAATTTATTTCCAGGATGATGCGCAACTCTAAAACAACTTCAAAGGCTATTAGGATTATTTTCAGAAAATTTAACTATATCACATCAGCATCACGAGAACCATTGTGTCATCTTCATACAAAATGTAAGAGATACTGCCTGGATCTGAGCTATTTGCATCCTGAAACCTTTTAGCCATCCTCTCCAGCTGTTGTATCTATCGTTCTGCTCAAGACTACCCTAACCAATATGAACAAGAAGGGAGATAGAGGTTTCCTCAATTGAGTCCTCTTTATGCTTGGAAAAATTGAGTTGGCTCCTCATATATATTAGAAATGATAATAGTGGAGATGCAATATTTTATCCATCCTTTTAAATACGTTAAGAATATGAAAATGAAGCAAGATACTATGCCTTGTAAATATGAAAAATCCCGAATCCCTATAACTGTGGAATTCAGAGATTTATGGGTTGCAATGACATGCTCTTCTTTTTCTTGGGATTACTTGTAAACTTGTAAACATTATCCGTCTTCATTGGCTTGCGGGAATAATAAGTTTCATTCTCAAAATCTTCTCTTTTCTTCTTCTTTACATCTTATCAGAGTCGAGTGTGAGTCCATCCTCTGGTTTCTCATTAAAGAAACAAAACAAAACAAAACACTGAAACAGAGCCAATATTTTGCGAAGAACAGATATTGGTTCTTCAATTCGCAACTTCCAGTCGAGGTCCACTATATCCTCTCAGTAATATCGAAAGCATGTAGACATCTACCTCAATTACAAGTGTTGACCTCAGAAGAGTCTCGTGTACCTCACATGTGGAACCAGAGCCCTTTCTTTAATTGTACATGCGCTGGCATGTGCAGCGATTTCAGTAGACCACTATCACTCCATCCAGTTTGCCCTTTCATGACGCTTGTTCCTAGCCTAACACCAGTGTCTGAATCTCACTCTATTGGGTTTAACTAACTCAGCAGTTCTTAAGGATATGATATTCACTTAAAAAACCATTCAGATGTTCAAGCTTCAGATCGAGCTGCGTGGATTAAATAGATGCACAAATTTTATAATCCATTTCTTTGTCAAGACTTCTATGCATCTTAACTGCACTGGAGGTGGCATCTCCATAAACTTATTGGATGGCTGTTCAGTCCAACAGTTTGCTAAATGCACCTAGGAAAGAAAAACTAATAAGGTCAAAACATTTCACATTGTGATGAGGGATGTCATACGAGAGGAACCTGTAAATCTGCATGCAACAATGAATGTTCCTGTCATGAAGCTAATGTGGCTCAGACTGGGAGGGATAGCATCCTTCCTTTTCCAGATGTAAAGGACTAATCATCTTATTCCATTACCTTACGAAGCATCAACATTCTTCTTGCACGTGAATTGACAGCATTCTTTCTCCATCAAATCAGCAAATGACACACTAAAGCTCAATAAATAAACTGTACTGTTCTTACTGTCATTCTCATGTCATTGGAACAGTTAGTTTCTAGCCTAGTGTTTTTTCATCATCTAAATCAAGATGTAGTGCCAATTTTGTTAAGATTGCTAATGCAATTCTAATTGCTTGGAGATCATCCTCTATGGTTCTTTATCTTTTCAGTGTTTTCTATTTACTGTAGTGAGATTCTTTTTCCCTTTTTTTTCTTCTTTTTGTTAGTCAGTGAAATTCTTTCATTGATGATTGAATTTGGTTGATTTTTTTTTTTTGCAGTTAAAAAGGTTCAGATTACTAACTCTTAATCCTTTTTCATTTTTGGTCTAGTCTAACCCGTTGCTGGAGGCCTTTGGCAATGCACGCACTATTAGGAACGACAATTCAAGGTGTGTTTTTGACTACTAATGTTGGCATTGCTCACATGTATCATTTGATGCAATCAGTGATTTTCAGCGGCGAAGCTGGTTTCTTTGTCTTCTGTAAAAGCATAGTTTTCTCCTTTATATGGAATCTTTCTTTGTCTTGTCTTTCACCATTTTACAATGAAATTTGTTATTTCAAATTTGTTGGAATTGTTGAACTTGTACTTATTCATTAAAGTGATAGCAGAACATGGGGCAACCATTCTTGAGGTCAATTGAATTATGATTAATACCTCTAATCCTTGTTTCTCGCAGTCGTTTTGGCAAGTTTGTTGAGATCCAATTTGATGCAAGTGGTAGAATATCTGGTGCTGCAATTAGGACTTATCTTCTGGAGAGATCTCGCGTTGTTCAGATAACAGATCCTGAGAGGAATTATCACTGCTTTTATCAATTATGTGCATCTGGAATGGTATTTTCTTCCCTCCATGTGCTTGGTTATGACGTTTAATTCATGAAATTCTTCATGTTTTCATTTTCAAAAAAAAAATTCTTAATTTTAAGTGAAATGTGTGTTCTGATATTCTTTTCCTTATGTGTATATTAACTTCTATGTGGTGACAACATTGATGTGTATGCTGTAGTTTAGGTTGTTCTAAGTGGCTAGTTGATGCGATTTTACTATCACAGTAAAAGTTTAAGGTTATTTCTTTTTTATGTTCTTACTTCTTCAGGATGCTGAGAAGTACAAGCTGGGTCATCCGAGTGATTTTCACTACTTGAACCAGAGCAAAACCTATGAGCTAGATGGAGTTAGCAATGCTGAGGAGTATATCAAGACAAGGAGAGCTATGGATATTGTTGGAATCACTCAGGAGGAACAGGTTTTGCAGCTGTGGTTTATTATCCTAATCAATATTTCTGTGTTTAGTAGCATAATTATTCTACTTCATTAATTATTGCATTGCATTGTCCTTTCAATAACAGGAAGCAATATTTCGTACCTTGGCAGCAATTCTACACATAGGAAACATAGAATTCTCTCCGGGCAAAGAACATGACTCATCAGTTATAAAAGATGAAAAGTCCAGGTTTCATCTGCTGATGGCTGCTAAGCTTTTTACGTAAGTGTTTTTTTGAAGATCTTTCTTCTTCTTTTGTTTTTCTGATTGGTGGATGATTATCATGTCCTTTGCTCTGCATAAATCAACAAGAAAATTGAACTTTTGATCATCTACTTGTATGGCTTCTTCCTTCCACGCCNTCGTAGTTGTTGCTGTACACTCTATATGTCTTGCTGTAACATGTAGTTCACAATTCTTTATAATGGAATATCTCATCTACAAAAGTTATTGCAATAGTTCTTCATTTGTTTCTTGCTTTTCAATGTTCTGTCTTGGCATTTTTCCTGATTTTGGCATGAAGAAAAAAATTATTCAGGAAAGTATAGCAGTTTTCATGTCGTCATATAGGATAAGACTAATTCACGTTTGTTATTATACTTTTGCTTGACATAAAATTTTCAGTCAATTTTGGTTAAAAAAAAATGTAGCTTAAGGTTTACGTGTAAAATAAAACTCAAAACTCTCAAAAGAAGCAGAGATAACCAGTGTTTTGGGTTTAATGGTATTTGTATTGCCTTGAAGTATTGCTGACTTCTGTTTATCTTTACCTTCTTTATATTTCTTGTCTTGGGAGACTTCCCAGTATCCTTATTATTTGAAACAAAATAAAAAATTCAAGATCTGTCATATTTGCTTTATAAGGATTTAGGGTGGTAATTTACCTGTTTTATTTAGCGTCTTCACAGTCCAACTGATCCCCAATTACTCCTTTTTAAAGGTGTGATGACCAGCTGTTAGTGACCACACTTTGTACAAGATCAATTCAAACTCACGAAGGCATCATCATTAAGGCTCTTGATTGTAGTGCTGCTGTTGCAGGACGTGATACGTTAGCAAAGACTGTTTATGCCCAATTATTTGATTGGTTGGTAATCTAGAATTCGTTTACAGTATCCAATAGTCAATGTTCTATTAACATTAGTTGTTTCTGTAAGAGTATTGTACCATCGCTTTCAGGTTAGTTGAAAAGATTAATAGATCTGTTGGGCAAGATCCTGATTCCCAGATACAAATTGGAGTTTTGGATATATATGGATTTGAATGCTTTAAGCAGAACAGGTTAGTTACATGTTATCTTTTTTGCCTTTTATTTTCTTTCAAAAATCATGTAATATAAGGAAGATAATAGGTTGCTATGTTTACATAAATGTGGAAAATAAAGGTTATTGGAAGTCCTTCTAGAATCAGATTTGTAAATAATAGACACCCAGAAGCAGTTGATCAATTATTTTTGGCTCAAGTCTGAATTTTTGACATTGCATCCTCTTTACTGCAGTTGTAATGGAATTTCCAGCCTTCTGTAATTGTGCAACTTCAACTTAAAATTACTCATTTGGTAAAAAAAAAAAAAAAGAATTTAAAAACTCAAGATTGTAGGCATATGCTCCTACTGGTTTTGCTAGCTGGTAAAAGGTCATGCCCTTAATTTTGGAAAAAAATGTAATGAAATATGAAAGGCAGTCTTATGTTGAGCTTGGGTGATGTTTAGCACCTAAAAGCAATGGTCTATATTTTAGATGTGAGCTCACAAGCCTTTTATTTTTGTGCTATTCATGCTTTACTGAAAGCTTAATTGAAACTTAAGAAGTATATGCTTGCTGGCAATTATTGAAATTGTTTCACAAATAATGTTTTAGAGTGGTATGAGAGTTGGCTATGAAAAATTTGTTTAATTAGTCTAGTTTTACATAAGGAGTTTTAGCCTAAACTGGAGACAAAAGGTTGAGAAATTATTGGATGTTCATAAACGGTAAAGTCTTGGAGTTATTGTGGAAATAGCTTATTGCTTTAGCCTTTGGGTATTGTCTTCCCGTTTTGGTCCACAATATAGTGGGCTGTTTGTTAAGTTGGTTCTTTTCACGAGCTAGGAGTTTGAAACAAATATTAGCCTATCATGTGCAGGCAGTATGTGCTTAAAGTAGGAATATTTTTTGTATTTTGCCTTAAAACTCAGATGGGCAAGTCCTTCCCCTTCATCTTAGACTCTATGGACTAAATGTTTGATTGACCCAAAAAAAGAGGAGAAAAAACAAATTTCTGGTGTCCTTACTAGCTTGAAAAATTGTTGGTGAAAAATCAATGCTTTTGATTATTTATCAGTATTTTTAGAATCCACAAAATCATGGTCCTATTTGAAGAATCAAGGAACCAAAGGAGAATTTTGGCTAAATGGTGTTATGAATTTTTGAAGCTGAGGGGGGAAGCCTGGGAATAAGGAACTCAGAAATTTGAGCCATAGAGGTTGAAGCGTTGACTTACTATTTGTTCTCTCTTTCACTAAGGATGAGCTTTATCCTTGCTGAGGAGTGATGAACAAGACGAGTGGTTATGGTGGGCTTGAGTATCCCTGTCGAGCATCTTTACATACTTTATGTCATTGCTTCATGCACTGGCCAGTGCCAAAGGTAAATTTGAGAGTTATCACAGGAACTTTCTATTGGATTCAACAAACGAGGATAGGAAGTTTCACTTAGCTATGAGTTTGTTACATCTCCAAAGAGGTCAGAGTGTGAAATATCTCCAAGTTTTTGACAAGGCCTAATTAGGGAAATAGTTATGAAGATTCAAGATTAAGTAGCATGCTCTATGGAGGGAGGTGGTAGCGGAAAAGTATGGAATTGTTGAAGGGAGACCGAGGATTGACTCACTGAAATAGAATTGTTTTCTACCTTCTCATTAATAGAGCCTTCTTTATCACAGAAGAAGATATGTTTGGGCAATGCTCTATGACAGTTGTTCCAACTCCAGACACTGTTCTTACTGTTGTAAGATTTTTTTCTTTTGATAAAGTAAGTAATTTTGTTAAGAATGGGATAATCCCCCCTATACAAACAGTATACGAAGAAGTAGAGCATCTACAGCATAATATGATCCTCTACAAACGACACTCATCACCCAATCTTCTCTGCTGTAAGATATCAAGCAGCAACATCAATTCTATTTTTTGACACCTGTATCAAATATCATATGAAGTTATTATGAACACTGTATGCACTTCCTGACCCTGGTTTGCTATATGAACTTTGAAACACATTGTATCCAGCTAGACTTCATAAACTTGGACTTGGTGAAGATATTCAGTTAACCTATGGCTACGCTGACGCAAGTTTCTGCTCTGTCATCTTGCCAACCCAGTTAGCAATAATATTCTGATTTTCTTGATGTTATTAACTGCATCTCGTAGGCAATTCATGTTAATGTTTGAAACTCAATTTTTTATATTCCTATGCTTTGTTAATATCTTTTGCTTGGAATTTCTGGGATGCTTCTCTTAGCTTCATTTTCGAGAGGGATCTTGGTTTCCAAACATTGCAATAACTCGAAATTGGTACCTGAACAATCCAATAATTGATTTCTCGGTACTACCCCTTGTACAGCTTTGAGCAATTCTGCATCAATTTTGCAAATGAAAAGCTTCAGCAACATTTTAATGAGGTAAGTTGTACTGCTCTAGGATAAATTACCCTTCTAATAAAAGAATTAAAGATTTTATGATTCTTAATAGAAGATTGCTGTTATGGCCTTTTGATTTCACCTTTTCTTCTTTCACCTTTTACTTATTTATTTCGGTCCTGTTAAATCTCTAGCATGTATTCAAGATGGAGCAAGAAGAATATCAGAAAGAGGAAATCAATTGGAGTTACATTGAATTTATAGACAACCAAGATGTTTTGGATCTGATAGAGAAGGTTCCACGCTATTCTCCTCATGATCTATTTTACATAAAGTTTCTCAGATGTGGTTTCTTACCTATACAGTAGACTTGACTGTTAATTAGGTGATGCAATGAATGAAACAAAGTATGCAATGTGGTTGGGATCTTCAAATTGATTTGTGTAAGCTTAAGGAGCAACCTTACTGCAAGGACAAAAGAATATCTGTATAAAGTTGTCAGCTGATATTACACATTAAGTGTTCTATAGCACATATTTCATGTAGGAAAAGATTGCAAACTTGGATATGCTAAATTTCTTGGTTTTGTTATGAATTTGTGCTTACTTGAATGTCATGGTGTATATTTGTTTTATCATTCACTGAAAATTGTAAGCTATATAAGATTTTTGAAGAGATACAATCATGATATTTGTGTTCGGATCTCTCATAATATGTCATTGGGCATTTGGCATGCTGCCTAGTTTGGATGGTGCACTTTAGACATTGTAGCTTGCCAGAACCACATGTATCAATTTCTAACTGATGTATGGGCATAATTTACTTCCAAAAGGGCATAATTTACTTCTGAAAACGTGTCTTCTGCCACTAGTGCAACTTTCTTACTTTATGTTTGATTCCGGAGACCTTATATAAAGCTACCACCATGCTTTTGTCGTTGGCCAGAGCTGTCGGTTCTTAACTATTAGTTAATCCAGATGCATCAAGGTTGTTACTGGAGATGTAAATTGGTTCACCGTTAGAAGCTTTTATGGTTTATTTCCTTTTGATTTTTCTTCTATCCTATTAAAAGCCATCACTTCGTCACTTCCAGTGATGGCGCAAAAAAAGCAAGGGGTTAACGCTCCATGGGTAAAGCCATTCTCTTTAGCGAAGTGTGGGCTTCAAAGTTCAAATAATGATGTTCTAAGTGATCTTAATGAGAACTAGTATGTTCATTGAATCTCAACTTTGAGAAGTTGGATTAATGACGACATTATTATATTTTTTTAATTGCAATTTGATTATTATAGTACTAAACTCACGTGTTCGGTAGTTTCTAATTTTTCATAAATTGTACGTTGCACTTCAAGCTTTGAACTTCAAGTCCCCTGGATGTAGTCGCGTTTTTGCACTTCTCATGTTTTGTGTTTTTGCACTTTTCGCTTTCTACTTTGAAACTGGGGTTTTGTTTTGGCTTACTCAAATGTCAAATGTGTTTTGCAGAAGCCTATTGGGGTAATTGCTCTTCTGGATGAAGCTTGGTATAAAATATGTGATGTGATTTGTTCAATTTATTCTCTTTTAGGAATTTTGGGTGTAACATCTCCTTATCTTGATGTATTCACCATTGCAGCATGTTCCCAAAGTCAACGCATCAAACTTTCTCAAATAAGTTGTTCCAGAATTTTCGGGTGCATCCACGATTAGAGAAGGAGAAATTTTATGAAACAGATTTTACCATCTCCCATTATGCTGGCAAGGCATGTCAGACTAATAGGAATTTGAAAGCTCAGTTTATGTTCATGAAGAGAATGATTGCTATTTTTACTCATGTTTTAGTGCTTATTTTGTAGGTCACATATAAGACAGAAACATTCTTAGATAAAAATCGTGATTATGTCGTGGTAGAACACCGTAATCTGTTATCTTCTTCGAAGTGTCCTTTTATTGCTGGTCTCTTTCCATCCCTTGGAGAAGAATCGTCTAGGTCATCATACAAGTTCTCTTCAGTAGCTTCTCGGTTTAAGGTATGAAGCTTACTCTAATGCGGCACTGTTTACTGCCACAGCATTTAACATCACAAGCTAAGTTTACAAATTTTCTTGTCATCATTTGGTGGAAATAACACGAATCAATTGCTTGCATAGATGCATGCGTTGGATATGTTATTAGCCTAAATATTCACAATTTCTACCCCAACATGGTTGATACACTCTGGTGTCAAGTATCTCTCTTTATTTAAAATTGAGAGTAAAATTATAGTGATAGGTCGGATGGTCAATGGTGTTTCTGTAAATTTCTGGTCAGTCAAATGCTTCAGGGAAGTTATATTTAAACCTTTTAGGATTAAGGAGAGCTGAAAAAAATTGAGCATGTGTTGCTAAAGCAGAGAAATATGAACATTGTGTTGACTCCTAGTAATATTTGATAAGAATGCCTATGTTAGTGCACGTGTCTGGGGGTATACATCTTGTATATGCTTGTATTGTTGTAAACATCTACAGAAAGTGGTATTTATTTCAGTTTTGTATTATTTATGAGAAGTTGAGAACACATGCATTTACTTGTAATGTTCAATGCATACTCTGCTTTATTTAAAAAAAATTAGGGTTTGAACTTTGTTTTCCACAATTCTTTTGGTTTTGGCCTTGCGATGTGCATTACTTTCTGGTGCATTGATATGTATTAATCTCCTGCTTAAAGTCAAAGACTAAATGATTGTGTGTCAAGGTTTCTCCTAAGTTGTGCGTAAGTACCATCCTAAAGAGCAGTTGCTGCAAAAGTTTGATTAGGTATATATTATATACTTATTAGATAATGTTGTTTTATGTTGTCCTTCACATCTTCTTTCTGTAGCAACAACTTCAAGCTCTCATGGAGACACTCAGCTCAACGGAACCGCACTATATTCGTTGTGTGAAGCCAAATTCTCTGAATCGGCCTCAAAAATTTGAGAATCTCAGCATCCTGCACCAACTGCGTTGTGGGGTCAGTTGATATATAATTTATTTATTGCCATATGTCAAGTGTTTTGGCTCTTCAGTCATATTACTGATAGATGTGACTTTTGATTTTTTAATGTAGTTGCTTCATGCTTGTTAACCTTGGTTTCTTGCATATGGTATACAGTGGAATGTATAGCATCCAAGGCTAGTCTTGTTTATGCCTGCTATATTTACCTCACATGCATAATTTTCTTTCATTGTTCTTCAAGATTCGCCTATTATTCTCTTGTCCTATTTTGGAATGATATCTCCCAGGTGGGTTGTTTTTTGTCACTTCGCTGCCTGTTTTCTTTTTACAAGGGTTCTTCTTTTAGTATTTTCTTGATCTTTTTCCGGTTTGGTTATCTTTTGTCATTTGACTCATTTCAATTCTTAAACTGTTGATTATAAGTGCAATTTGCTTTTGTTTTCTCTTTACACCTTACTAATTACACCTTCATTTGCTTTGCTCTAGAGTGTGATAGAGTGAATCAGGGATCTCTTTGTGTTATTGAATTCTCAAATCGGTTTTGCTTCTTCCATTGGGTTGCACAGTGATGTGTTGAACTTTGTGATACTGATGCTTTTTCCTGCAGCCTTTTGGCTCCAAATTCCTTTTTTCCTTTACCATTTGATAATAAAAAGGATATTCATGTGCATTCTCTTGGTGCAGTGTTCTCATTTAGCATTAATTTGATACATGGCAGGGTGTTCTGGAGGCTGTGCGCATAAGTTTGGCAGGTTATCCCACACGCAGAACTTACCATGAATTTATAGATCGATTTGGACTGATTGTTTTAGACATGTTGGATGGAAGGTGGGTTTGCTTCTAGTCCTGACTATTATAACTCTTTTTGGTGAAATTATTTGACCCTTCTTTTGTTTTTTTATTTTCTGTTCTCTTGCATTGGATTTGTAATGGGATGCTTGGAAGCATCCGATATGACCAGCAAACATTTCCATGCATATAATCCATAGGTTGGTTCAGCAGAGCTACCAACATAGTGTTTTTGCTAGTTAGATCTGTGAAAATGTTAAAATTCTGATTAAAATGACAGTTGTTCATCCAAAGTGTGATTTGCGATGACCAGCTTATGCAGGAAGGAATTTCTGTGCGGCTTGCTCTTAAAAGTTTAGGATTAAGAAGTTTCATGGGTTGAAATCATTTGAATATACCTGAAAGTGCTTAATACCAAAATTCTCTTACACTTTGTTTAACAGCAGAATTAAAGTAAACACTAAGTAATTATAGCTTTAAGATTGGTAACATTGCTGTTATGAATCATCTGAAAAATGAAAGGGAAGCTGAACTTTTTTGAGTTTGGTTTATATGGCGTATCCCAACCAAAAATGAAGAGAAGGCATACTTGCCCTTGTACAAAGTGGAAGTAGGTAGCTGATGATGCTTGGATTAATATGTCAGCGAGTGACTCTGCATTTTGTGTAGAGCTTGTGTTAGCTGAGTGCGTGCATTTCTATCCTTTTTGCTGCTGTTTAGGATGACTATATAGGTGATGAACTTATCTAGGTGTAGGCCTATAGGGTACTGGCTTTGTCCCCTGCTCTACTGAACCCTAGTTGCTTCTGTTATGAAGTTGTGTCCCACAATCCTTGTCCAGTCAACAACAACAACAAACAACAACAAACCCAGTGTAATCTCACAAGTGGGGTCTGGGGAGGGTAGCGTGTACGCAGACTTTACCCCTACCCTGGGAAGGTAGACAATCCTTGTCCAGTCAAACAATTGAAATTCTCTGCTTTGGCAGGTTAACTTTTTTATGATTAGTATTCCCTTAGTGCCAAATCATGTCTGCCTCTTTTTTATTTTTGTACGTCACTAATAGTGTTATTCTTTACATGTATCTGAAGGATTCAAACTCATTTAACTAGTAAAATACACTTTGATGTTATGATTTACCTATTATATTATCTTTTGAAGTTTCATTTAACCAAAATAAAAAATATTTGCTACTTTCTGTTAACAGGTAAGTTGCGCGGACACTAGTGCGGTTCTAGAGGTCGGATCCTTCGAAATGTTAATTCTAAGATTCGGGATACGGATCCTAGTACGGGATCTGGCTAAAAATAATTCAAAAATAAAATAAAATATAAAAATATCTCTAAATTTGGAAAAAATTTGTGGGCTACTTACGTATAATTTGTAAAGTGTGGATTTCTTTCCCAAGTTGTAGATAAGTAAAAGATTGATTTTCTAGATAGGGTATGCTATTTTCTTTAAATTTACCCTAGTTTTTTGATTTCGGGAATCACATTGTATTTCGTCTCGAATTTTTCCTTCCGTCGTGGTCGAAGTATCCAAAATTGTTTGACCAGATCCCTCACAGATCTTATACCCACACCCATACTAGTGTCATGTCGACACGGATGCGGCACCTAAACTGCCGTATCGGAGCAACTTAGGTTAACAAAATGGACCCTGCTTGGATTCTTTTATAGACTGGTATAAGGCATGAACGTGATTTGATTAATAGTAACCAGGATAATATTCTATGTTGCGCGGGGTCTTTAAATCAGCTGCCGCACCCGTCTCGGATTCTCCAAAAATGAACTACTTTTGGAAGATCCGACATGTACCCATCGACATTTTCGGAGAGTCCGACAACATAGGTAATATTAGAGTTTGTAAAAATAAAGTTGTATGATGAGATTAGTTCTGTATCTGCAGCATATGGCTACCCAAAACATTGTTGTGTGTCTATATGTGATCAATGTATAACTGATTATAAGGAAACCACCCATCCCCTTCATTGTCGATGTGGGACTCAACACCCCCTCTCACTCTCAGGACTAAACATCTGGAGCGCGGATAGTTATGAAGGCCAACATCGGAAAAATTGGGATGAGTCCTGCTCTGATACCATGATAAATGGACCTTGGGCTTAACTCAACCCCAAAAGCTAGCTCAAGAGGTGAGGGTTGCCCAAGGAGACCACCCATCCCCTATATTGTCGATGTGGGACTCAACATTTATATAGAGAACTACTCTTTTTTCCGTATTCAGCCCTTTCCGACAAGATGTTTCGGTGTGATAGCCTCGATTTTTGAAGATCTTTAGAGGTAGTGAGAAGGCACGGGAGAAAATATGTTATTGATATTGGATGATAAATACAATACAAGAGGTCCCTATACATATCTGTAAACTAACACTCCCCCTCAAGCCGGTGCATACACATCATATGTACCGAGCTTGTTACACTTACACATGTAACTAATACAAGAACCAGTAAGAGACTTAGTGAAAATATCTGCTAGTTGATCATTCGACTTTACAAACTTTGTAACAATATCTCCTGAAAGTATTTTTTCTCTGACAAAGTGACAGTCGATCTCAATGTGTTTAGTCCTCTCATGGAACACCGGATTTGACGCAATATGAAGAGCAGCTTGGTTATCACACACTAGTTCCATCTTGCTGATTTCTCCGAACTTTAACTCCTTGAGCAACTGCTTGACCCAAACTAACTCACACGTCGCCATAGCCATGGCCCGATATTCGGCTTCGGCGCTAGATCGTTCAACTACATTCTGTTTCTTGCTCTTCCACGAGACCAAATTACCTCCTACTTGAACACAATATCCAGACGTAGAACGTCTATCAAAAGGTAATCCTGCCCAATCAGCATTTGTGTACCCAACAATCTGCTCGTGGCCTCGATCCTCGAATAGTAATCCTTTGCCTGGAGCTGACTTTATATACCGAAGAATGCGAACAACTGCATCCCAGTGACTATCACAGGGAGAATCCATAAACTGATTTACAACACTCACCGGAAAAGAAATGTCAGGTCTAGTCACTGTGAGGTAATTCATATTGCCAACCAACCTCCTATATCTCGTAGGGTCTCGAAGAGGCTCCCCCTGTCCAGGCAGAAGCTTAGCATTCAGATCCATATGAGAGTCAATATGTCTGCAACCCATCATTCCAGTCTACTCAAGAATGTCTAAGGCATACTTCCGCTGTGAAATAA